CAAACTTACGGAAGACATTCGTTTTCCACAATGATTATATATATATATATATATTTTTCAAAAATACCTGAATTAAATAATATTTTTTAACGATTATTTGGTCTCTTCCTTAGAACAAAAACTTTGTCCATTAATCAGACTTTTCTTAACTAATCCGATTTAGGGTTAAAAAAGAAGCGGTGAAAGCGGTTACTACACGTTTTAGCGCCAGGATCAATATAACGACACGAGTTCCAAGTACACAAGTATCAGCAACAGGAAATTGCTTTTTTTTTTAAGGTTGTTCTCGTTCAATGGTCATTTTCTATCAGCTTTTAGACATTCAGATCGTTTATCAGAACTGGTCGAATAAACCTGGTTATTTTTTATACTGTCATCGACTCTCGATCTGCTGGTTCATCAGTTCGTGACATTTGTTCGAGGAAATAAATATTTATTCATGAATGTGGGTATGTATTTTTGTTCCTACATTTCTAGAAGTTCACAACCAGAGTGTTTACTGAAGAGACGGCCCCTCGAATGTTTTGATAAAACGAAACCAAAACTTAAACGCCAAACTATTTCACTTGTATACTGGAAACACCCGCTAGGGAACTGATCGGCAAGAGCCAGGCGTGGCCTTGTGGTTAATGTGCCGGACTGTGAGTCCGGAAGTCCATGGTTCGTGCCCCGTTGCCACAAAATCGCGCTCCGTACTTTGGACCGTGGGCGAAATTAGGCTTATAAGAGTGACTTTAAAATCCGATTACTTGATTAAGTGGGTGTTGTTTATTAGCTGTCTTCCCTCAAAATTAGGGACGGCCAGCTCCGATAGCCTTTGTGTAGCTTAGATTAAATCTCCAAAACTAACTAATTAACAATACGTTAGCTGTATAACAATTAAATAGCGTCTCGACTACTACAATTTCTGTCGTGTTCCAACCGGCTTGAAGAATCATGATGTTAGCACAAAAGGCCTCGTGCGGTTAATATATTATTACCGGCTTGAAAAACAATGGTGTTAGCACGAAAAGCCTCGTGCGGTTAACATATTATTACCGGCTTGAAAAACAATGAATAATATGTTAACCGCACAAGGCTTTTCGTGCTAACACCGTTGTTTTTCAAGCTGGTAATAATAATATGTTAACCGCACGAGGCCTTTCGTGCTAACACCATTGTTTTTCAAGCCGGGTAGCCCATTGTGTAGCTTTGTGCTTAATAACAAACAAACAAAAAACAACCATAACAACAAAACCCTGTGGTGGACCGAGTGAAGATAGCTTATTGTGTAGCAATAACAGCAGCAACAACTATAAGTTTTCGCTCTTACACAAGAGGAAGCGCAGACAATCAACAGCATTGGCACAGCAGTATGTCTGCGGGATTACAACGCTAGAAACCGGGTTTCGATACCCGTGGTGGGCATAGCACAGATAGCCCATTTTGTAGCTTTGTGTTTAACTACGAACAAACAAACAACCATCCATCCCCCTGCACGGCTTATGAAATAATTTTATGCTCACTTAACGACAAGAGTATTTTTTTTCAAGCCCTTAGGGGGAGAATTACGTTCGTCAAATTTTGTTTGGTTAATGTGATGAGTTTATGAATTACTTGTTAGATTTGTCCAGGTTGGAATGTTTTAAAGAAATATCTCCAAAATGTTACCACTTTATTAATTTCAACACGAGACGATAAAAAAGTAGAATTCTTACTGAATTTTAGGATAATGGCTGTATACCAACTTATCACGATTATTTATTTTAGAGCACACTGGACTATCTGCTATGTCGACCGCGGGGAATCAAACCCCGTATTTTAGCGTTGTAAGTCCGTAAATTTACCGCTGTCCCACTGGGGTACAGCCGTCATTCATAAAACGATAATGTAATTATTAATTAATTATAAATAAGTATTTCTGAGTGAGAGTGAAGGTGCATAATAATATGTTAACCGCACGTGGCCTTTCGTGTGTTGTGCTCACCGCAGACATCGCTAAGCCCACCGGTTTGGGGGTGGGGGTAGTACTTGTTTGTAGTTTTTTCTTAGTGTTTGTTTTTTGAATTTCGCGCAAAGCTACACGAGGGCTATCTGCGCTAGCCGTCCCTAATTAATTTTGTTAAGCTATTCTTTAGGATTACTTCAGTCAAGATTTCTCAGCTTCAAAAACGTGCCCTTTATTCGGCCTAACAAAAGAAGCCCAAGAATAGGCGGTAGGTGCTGCTGACTAATTAACTTGTCCCTATTCTCTCAGATCAGTACACAATTATGAAAGGTTATGCGCAGACTGAGTACATTTGAGTAACTCTGCGCAGCTTTGAAAGGCAACTCTGAAACATAAAAAGCATCTGGACTGTCTTTACTTGAGTGGCGAGAAGTTATGTCTCTTTAAAAATCGAAAATATTTTTTTTCGATATCCAAACACAGAAAATAAATACTTGCATAAGGTTGTGACCATCAGATATCAATTGTTGTCATGGTTAATAGTCTATACAGTAACCTAAGCCTAATTAGTAATTAACAACGGTGAGTCAACCTAGCACAAAAGTCACCAAAAAAACCTGGATACCACTCTTCAAGTTAGTTGATTATAGGTCAAATGCGGAAGAGACCCCCAGTCAAACGGTTAACGAACTAAACATTCAACATTATGACCCAGGATCGAATCTCGGCTACTACTAGTAGAGAAGATAGTTCTTCTCAGGAATCCTCTGTAAGCGGCAGTAGATTAGCAGCCAAAATGTAAAATAAAAACTATTATTTAGGTATAAATACAAATTAGTTACTACTGATTAAGCGATAATTCGACTTAAATGATCCTATAGTCCAGTGGATCTCAAACTCTTTTAGTCTGAGGCTCCCTTGATGTGAATTAAAAAGTTTGAAGCCCCTCCCCCGACCTATAACTTTAGCATGGTAGTAAAAACAATAATATCTCCTTTCAACATACTCTGTTATTTAATTAATTCAACATATTTTTTATCGGCTTATTGTTTATTTAGAATTAAAATTAATTCAGCATCTTTGTTTTCGGCCCATTGTTTGGCGGCCCCCCAGAAAAAGCTTTATGGCCCCCCAGGGGGCCGCGGCTACAACTTTGAGAAACATTGCTATCGTTTTTTACCCATAGCAACGATACAAAACTTAAGCTTCGGATTTGATGACGAAACACACGCATTAGTGACCTCAAGTTCTTAATTGATTTCGTTCAAAAATATCGCTCCATTTTAGGTAGGGACGAAACACGTGTTTCATTTGCTTAATTCCGCGAAAATGTTAAGTTAGTAATTAATTAATTTAGTTATTCAACTCACTCTTTAGACAAACCAGGAACTTAATACCTCAAGCATATAAATGTTATAAATAAAATGCATTAGTAAACCACGTCAGGCTACAACTGGAAGAGTCAACTGTTGAACGTGTATTGATAAATGTAAACAAAAACAAAAAATTGTAATCGGGGCTTTAATTAAATAACGGCTGAAATTTTCGATGGTACTTAGTCGATGCAATTTGACAGTTCTGGCTGTTTGTTTATTTTACGGCGTGTTCAGAAGAGACTGGTGTGTTTGTATTATGTATTTTATTCTCTCAAATAGAGCCCCCGGTGGAAACACAACGAGTCCAAAATTAAGAAACCTGCCATCCAGTCTAGCCTCCAGGAGTTTTGTGAAAAGAGTTGTTTCAACAATCGATTGTATTCAGAGAACATTTGTTAAATAAAACACAAGTTTTCAAGGCGTGAAAGTGATGGATTGTATAATACGCAAATATGATCCTGCACAGCGACACAGCGTGAAGCTAGACACAAATAGACACGCATATATATATATATATAGGCTTAGCAATTTCAGACTTCCATTTCTTTGAAAACATCTTTATTTTTTCGGCCAATCAGATAATACTCGAGTTAAATAACCACACGAAAACCTGAATATATAACATTTACAAGTATTTTCTCTTTCGCAAGTATAAAACTTGTGGGTTAGTTTCTATGGTTTTCCTTTCCGTCGCAGTATGGAGAAAATATGAGTGGTAAATTTAGCTCAAAGCTTGAATAGCCTTAAACCTTTTGTCGGAATGGAATACTGGGAGGGTATATGTAAATCTGTGAACTAAACAACTCACTTTTCAAACCCAAACACTGAGTGACAATCTTCATAATTGACCTAGCTGGGCTGATATTGTTCAAAATTGTAGTTCTTTGCTGCTTATGGTATGGCCTTTGTTTCTTAATGTGTTTTGTACTTCACGCGCGCCAAAATTAAAACTAACAGTTCACGAGAAATCCTGGTCGGAGCACCCCACTTCGTGTTTCTTCTGTTTGTATGACATATCTAAACAATGTTTAAGACAGATTCGAAGATTGGAAATACAGTAAAATGTATTGATATATGTGTGTGTAAATGTTTGACAACGTTCTAGACTTTAGAGCCTCGAGACAAAGAAGACGTTGTTGATTGGCTTGTCACATAAATAAGTAAGAGAATGATTGGACGAAGGAAAAACGTAAACTTACTTCCAGGTGTAGAACAAAAATCGAGTTAGATTATCGCTGTAATCGTCCATCGTGTCCTCTAAAAGAGGGAACAACAAAAATAATTATATTTAAACTACTTCAAATATATATATATTCTGAATAGTGCTTAAATTTGTTGTACAACAAACGTTCGACTGGTTAAAAACTTTATAGAAATTTAATTCGACTGTTTAAAAAAAATTTGTACAGACATTTCAAATACACTGATTGATACTTCACCATTAACTCAGAGGTAAGTCAGGTTTCGATACCCATTGTGGGCAAAGCACAGATAGCCCATCGTGCAGCTTTGTGCTTAACAACAAACACAGAAATAAATGGTATCTCGTCAAGACTGTTTATTTGATGTTAAGCACGAATCTACACGATGGGTAACCGGGCTCTGCCACCACGGGTATCGAAACCCGATTTTTAGAGTTACAAGCCCTCAGACTTACCGTTAGTACACCAGGGGCATTAAATTATTTTACTGAAATACTATGAATTTTTGATAATTTTATATGATAACTTACTTATAGCTCTTTCTATTAATTATAGCATCTATTAATTTTCTATTCTTTTTCTATTAATTAATAATTATAGCATCATAGTTATATTCCATTACGTAAAGTTACATCCTATGTTGATTTAAAATGTTTCATATTTTTGTTGTTTGTTTTACATGTTTACACTTCTGTGGTAATCTCAGATCTGATGTTAATGTTATATCATGCTTTAAACAGTTTAGAAGGGTTTTATGGAATGTTACTACCTCTGAGAACTTCTTCAAAACATCATAATTATCAGGACCTTTCTCCAAATGTAACAAAACTATAAGTATTCCAAGATACTCAGAGGTATATCAGAAATCTTTAACACTCTTTTAATCACGGGCACTTGTGTTTACATCACTTCTATAACACTTTTACATATTAGATTTAACGCGTCCTTTGATAAGAAACAAGAACAAAGAAAACCCACCATCCGTCAGGTAAGGCAATGACCTCACTGCATCCGCCAAATAAAGTAGTCCCAGAACAATTACAACCGTCGAGTATCGCATGTTTATTCGGAATAAGAATATGTCGATATTCACCTGAAAGCAGAAATCAGATGTTATAGTTTATTTTAAAGTACATAATGTTATTTTACGTAGAGAAAAAAATGTTTGTCAGAATTAAATGTCAAAAAATCATTAATAATAATAATAATATCATTATTTGTCGGTTTCTCTCCACACAATTTCTCTGATTTTAAGTGAGAACAAAGTGTGCAATCTTCTTCGATAAATCTGATTCTGATTTTAACTTCACGTGGCGATAGAATCACTTCTACAGCAGACGTTCGTATCTGTGGCTAGATGAGTTTCTATGGAACAGTATCTGTGGTTAGATGAGTTTCCATGGAACAGTATCTGTGGCTAGATGAGTTTCTATGGAACAGTATCTGTGGTTAGATGAGTTTCTATGGAACAGTATCTGTGGCTAGATGAGTTTCTATGGAACAGTATCTGTGGTTAGATGAGTTTCTATGGAACACTATCTGTGGCTAGGTGAGTTTCTATGGAACATTATCTGTGGTTAGATGAGTTCCAACGGAACACTATCTGTGGCTAGATGAGTTTCTATGGAACAGTATCTGTGGTTAGATGAGTTTCTATGGAACAGTATTTGTGGCTAGATGAGTTCCAACGGAACAGTATCTGTGGTTATATGAGTTTCTATGGAACAGTATCTGTGGCTAGATGAGTTTCCATGGAACAGTATCTGTGGCTAGATGAATTTCTATGGAACAGTATCTGTGGCTAGATGAGTTTCTATGGAACAGTATCTGTGGTTAGATGAGTTTCTATGGAACAGTATCTGTGGTTAGATGAGTTTCCATGGAACAGTATATGTGGCTAGATGAGTTTCCGGAAACTCATCTAACCACAGATACTGTTCCATAGAAACTCATCTAACCACAGATACTGTTCCATAGAAACTCATCTAGCCCCAGATACTGTTCCATAATGGAACAGTATCTGTGGCTAGATGAGTTCCAACGGAACTCAAAACTTTAAAATAACCAAAACGTATTAATTGAGAAACTTCTTTAGGATTCTAAGAACTTGTCAGACTATAAACCGTTGTCTTGTAAGAAAGCTCAAAATCTTACAGACAGAAAACAGTAAACAAAGAAAGTTTACTCATTTCGACTGAACGCTCAACTTAACTCTAAAACGACGATTTTTAAGTTCGTTGGTTTAAGCACGAGTATCGGTTTCTCTATTGTACATCTCTTTAAACAAGCATGTTTTACATTTTACTTCATTTCTGATGTTTCAATCTGTATTTCTTCCTCTTTGTGCCAAAAATTATCGATCCCGACAGATAACAGATCAGTAAATACATGCAGACCTCGCGTGTTAATGTTGCCATGATGAATCTATTTCAGGTAACTGAAACACACAAATAATGAGATATCAAAAATTAAAGTGGGTGGTAACTTTCACCTGAACAGCTAAACGGCCCACTAAGGGTGTAGGCATAATTTACCTTGATCTAAACTTGCTGGTAAAGGAAGGGCAAATAGCCAGCAGCCCGCACTGCCTGTTCTATAACTGCTCTTAACTGAACAGCGAAACTGATTCTCACGGTTATAAAGTCTAGGCAGATGAAAGTAAGGAGTACGTTCAGCGGTATATCGCGACTCAAACTTCTGGTCTTACGGTCCGCAGCCCAGAAATAAGAAGCACGTGGCATAAGAATCGTAAGAGAACTACTATAACTCTGTCCAGAAATGAAGAGATAACACAAGTAACACATAGTGCTGATGTAGTTGGCTGCTCTGTACTTTTAAAATCACGTGCCGTTAAAATAAACGCGTGTTATTCTGAAGAGATAACACAAATAACACATAGTGCTGATGTAGTTGGCTGCTCTATGCTCTTAAAATCACGTGCCGTTAAAATAAACGCGTGTTATTCTGAAGAGATAACACAAATAACACATAGTGCTGATGTAGTTGGCTACTCTGTACTTTTAAAATCACGTGCCGTTAAAATAAACGCGTGTTATTCTGAAGAGATAACACAAATAACACATAGTGCTGATGTACTTGGCTGCTCTGTACTCTTAAAATCACGTGCCGTTACAATAAACGCGTGTTATTCTGAAGAGATAACACAAATAACACATAGTGCTGATGTACTTGGCTGCTCTGTACTCTTAAAATCACGTGCCGTTACACTAAACGTGTGTTATTCTGAAGAGATAACCCAAATAACACATAGTGCTGATGTAGTTGGCTGCTCTGTACTCTTAAA